TATACATATACATATATATATATATATATATATATTATGCACATATATATATATATATATATATATATATTATGCACATATATATATATATATATATAAAGTGCCTTCAAAGCTTACCTTTACATAGGCTGTTCTTCTACCAGTGGGGATGATTCGAGCGTTTGGGTTGCAATCGTGATTCAGATAAGCCGCTGGGCCTAACCAAAGTTGAGCACATCCTTTCCGAGTGGAATACATTACGCTGAAGTCATTCTGACCCACCACCTGTACCAACCACAGAATGTACGCAAACAGTTCAATGTGATTGATTTGAAGAGCTCACACCGCGTGTTAATGGCAGCACATACGACAGATAGGCCACTATCGACCACACTGCGATCAGCTATCGGGATGATTGGAAGGTGTTCAACTATACTAACAGGGCGCACATCCTTCCACAAAAGGTGGTCTTAATCCTGAAGAGACTATCTTCTTGAATGTCTGACTTCGATTTTATACTCTCAACCACCGTGAAATTTTAAATAATATATATATATCACAATGAAGGAGCTGTAGCTGGTAGGTCTAGCCGAATACGCACAACCTGGTGGCAAGTATTGATCTGAAAACTAACAGGGCCGCCTCTACAGTCACTGGAGTGCATTTTACTACGCTCCAACCTATCATATCAAAATCAACTGACACGAACCTGCTATCGAATATAATCAAGGTACACTTCAACGCCCCGTTTACTCCACTCTTAACTGATACTGACCCCACCAAGTGGACATGAAACATACAAAAAAGTCGTCCTCTACATCTTTGGGCACCTCCGCGATCACGCCCATGAAGTTTGTGACTATGTCATCGGTGTTCCAGTGTCTGGTCGAGATCACTTTGGCTTCTGCCCTTTCAGTTTTATACCGGAGAGCTGTGGCGAGCGTCACTCCAGTCTGATCGAGGGAATATTGGATGTAATGATGTCATGAGTATAGCATATATGAGCAAATGCAAGTAAGGCCAGAGTGTGCTATCCCTTGCTGCTAGCTTGATATACATTGAACACCTCTAAGCAAGGCGGTTTTGTGCATGATATAGTTTCTGTATTTGATAACCGTGCTGTTAAACTTGTACACAGTGCTACAGTTTGACAAACACGGGCTTGGCGATCAGGTAAGTCAGTGCCGAATGACTGAAATCATTAAATGTACTTATATTAGAATTGAGCAAACATACCTCTGGCGAAAACATGTTGATAAAGAGTTCTAGATGCTTATCGAACAAGACCTGAAGAAATGGGTAAAAAGAGGTCAGATGAGATTAGAAGATATAGAAGAGCAGATAATGACCACAAATACGCATTCATGCATCACTTTCAGATGCGGTTTATTCGTTGATGTAAACCCATACAAGCTCGTCTGCACGCGCAATGCGCTAAGATTTCGAAGCAATCAGCTCGAAGTGTCGGTCTTTAATACACAATCCGGCCACATACCTTCTTCTCCGCATTTCTAAGTGACTCTCGCTGCATCGCTACATACTTCATATTATTCACGATGGCTACAGCTTCGCGCACACCTATTTTGCCACCAGCTACGCCCAAAGCCACAACTCGAACACTCTCTTGCTGCAGCTTGCTGAGACCAGAGCGGAAGCTATGGGCCATCTTATGAGTCTGAATGCCCAGCACCGAGTCTACGACCGCATGCGTCGCGCAATCGTCCGTTTTAGCCAAGTCCTGATTCGTTGGTAAGTATGACCGAATTAGACAACGTGCAAAAGGCGGCTCTATGAATATTCCAGTATTACGTTTTAATTATATAGGTGCGCGTTCAAAAGGATGTAGTCCCGTACACAAATAAGTGCATGTCCAACTGGCTTGATAAATATCCGGAATAGTATTGGGACTGATGAATACACTCGTTGCGTGATATACTATGGCTGCATCAATTTCAGACTGAATACTACAGATACAACTGTTCGACACGCAGTTTAGTCCTACATGATGAGTCAAACCAGCGCATGCGGATGCAACAGCAGGCAAAATAGCTATACATCAGATTCAGGCAAACCCTAGGATTGATAGTACCTCTTTCGATTGGCATTATATTAAAATAAATGTAGAATTCTGAATATAACCATTATTGCAATGTAATATATACATATATATATATATCTATAATATATATATATATATATATATATATATATATACTATAGTACTATACTATATACTATACTATATATACTATATA